AGCCCCCACAGTAGCATTTTAGTATAATTTCAAGTCAAGGACTGTGATACCCGCTGCCTTGCCTTTATTGCCCAGAATTGCCTTTGCTATTCTAGGTCTCTTCCGGTTCCAAATGAATTTTAGGTTTGTTTTCTCTAATTGTGTGAGATATGCTATTGGAATTTTGACCAGAGTTGCATTAAATCTGTATAACAGTTTTGGAAGTCTGGCCATTTTCCCTATATTGCCACTTCCTACCCAAGAGCAAGGGATATCTTTCCATTTTCTGATAGCTACTTCAGTCTCCTTTTTCAGAGCACCATAGTTTCTTCAATGTGGAGGTCTTTTACTTCCTTCATTACTTTGATTCCTAGATATTTCATTTTTTTGGATGCTATTGTTTCCCTAATTTCTTCTCAGTGAGTTTGTTTGTGTACAGGAAGGGTTTTGATTTTTGAGTGCTGACTTTGTATTCAGCTGCATTACTGAATTCGCTTAATAAATATAGCAGTATTTTAGTGGACTCTTTGGAGTCTTCTCTGTAGAGCACCATGTCATCTGCAAATAATGATAATTTAACTTCTTCCTTTCATATCGTTATTCCTTTCATTTCTTTCTCTTGTCTAATAGTTCTGGCTAAAGTTTCCAGAACTATGGTGAATAAGTGTAGAGACAGTGGACATCCTTGTCTTGCTCCTGGTTTTAGAGTGAAAGCTTTCAGTTTTTGCCCAGTTAGTATGATGCTGGCTATTGGTTTGTAATGAATGGTTTTTATCAGATTGAGATGAAGATTGTCTATTCCAATTTTCTGTAGGGTTTTTATCATGAATGGGTGCTGGACTTCGTTAAAAGCTTCTTCTGCATCTATTGAGATGATCATGAATTTTGTTTTTGGCTCTGTTAATATAGTATATTACATTTATTGATTTATGTATGTTGAAACATCCCTGTATCCCTTGTATGAATCCCACTTGGTCATCCTGTATAATCTTCTTGATGATTTGCTGCATTCTGTTTGCCAGTATCTTACTGAGGATTTTTACATCTATGTTCATTAGGGAGAACAGCAGTTTTGTAGTTCTCTTTCTTAGTTGCATTCTTCTCCAGTTTTGGTATCAGGGTAATGCTTGCTTCCAGGAATGACTTTGGAAGTCTTGCTTCCGTTTCAGTTTCATTAAAGAGTTTGAGAGTAGTAGTGTTAAGTCTTCTCTAAATTCAGCAGTGAAGAATTCAGCAGTGTAGAATTCAGCAGTGAATTCATCAGGGCCTGGGTTTTGTTTGTTGGTAGGTTTTTAATTACAGCTTTGATACTGGTTCATTTAGGATTTTTATATGTTCCTGATTCAGTTTTGGTAATTCATATGTATTTAGGAATCTGTCCATTTCTTCTGCATGTTCTGTCTTATTAGAATATAAGTTTTCAAAGTAGGTGTAGATGACCTTCTGAATTTCTGCAGGGTGCACTGTAATTTCACCCTTTTCATTCCGAATGGTGTGGATTTGAGTCTTTTCTTTCCATTTTTTTTTTTTTTTGTAGCTTGGATAAGGGTTTGTCCATTTTATTTAATCCTTCAAAGAACCAACTCTTTGATTCATTGAATCTTTTTTAGTCCCCAGTGCATGAATTTGTGCTCTGATCTTTATAATTTCCTCCCTTGTATGAGCTTTTGGCTTGACCTGCTCTTCTGTATCTAGAAGTTTGAGGTTCACCATTAAGTTATTTATTTACACTTGCTCTGTTTTCCTGATATGCGTGTTCACTGCTATAAATTTCCCTCTTAGGACTGCTTTCACTGTGTCCCATAAGTTCCGGTATGTTGTATTGTCATTATCATTCAATTGTAGAAACTGTCTAATTTCTTCTGTACTTTTTTTTTTTTGGTTTTTCTCGGTTTTTTTCCGGTACTGGGAACCAAACTCACGACCTTGCGCTTGCCAGGCAGGCGCTTTGCCGCTGAGCTAAATCCCCAGCCCTCTTCTGTAATTTCATCTGTGACCCATTGGTTGTTCAGGAGGGTGCTATTTAATTTCCATGTGTTTGTGAAGTTCTTGTGGTTTCTTTTGCCATTGATTTCCAATTGCATTGCACTGTGGTCTGGTAATGTGCATGGGGTGATTTTGATGCCTTCTCACTTACTTAAGCATGTTCCATGAGCTGGTATGTGGTCTGTTTTAGAGAATGTCCCATGTGCAGCTGCGAAGAATGTGTATTCTGATGTTGTGGGGTAGAACACTCTGTAGACATCTACTAAGTCCAAAAGTTTGGTTCAGTTCTAGTATTTCATTTGTAACTTTCTATCTACTTGTTCTGTCTTTTTGTGACAGTGGGACATTCAAATCGCCCAGTACAGTTGTATTAGTGCTTACTTGCTTTATATAGTTGGGTACACTAGCATTTGTTGCATATATATTTATAATTGTTATTTCTTCCTCTTGAAATGTTCCTTTTACAAAAATATAGTGGTGTTCTTTATCTTTCTTAATCAGTCTTGGCTTGTAATTCACTTTTGTCTGCAAGTAGAGTAGCTAGCCCTGCTTTTTTCTGGGTTCCTGTCACATGAAATATTGTTTTCCATCCTTTGACTTGCAGTCTATGAATATTTTTAAATTAAATGTGTTTCTTATATGCAGCATGTTGTTGGATCTTACCTCTTGATCCATTCTGCCCATCTGTGTCTTTTGATTGAATTGAGACCATTAACATTGATGATTATAACTGACATGTATTGACTTATCCTTTTCATGTTTTTTTCCTGTTGTTGGCTCCCCCTCTTTTTTTTTCCCCTCCATTTGTTTGCCTTGCCTGGTGAATTCCTTCTGTTGGGGTTCTTAGAATTGTAGTTCTTTTTATCTCTGTCTAGAATGTCTTTCAAAACTTTTTAGAGTGCTGGTTTGGTGGTCATAAATTTCCCTAGATGTTCTTTGTCATGTAAGTATCTTATTGCTCCATCAGTTTTGAAAGATAGTTTTGTGGGATACATCAATCCTGGTTGAAGGTTGTTTTTTTTATAACTTGAAATACTTCACTCCAAGCTCTCCTTGACTTGAGGGTTTTTGCTGAGAAGTGAGCTGTGATTTTGTTGGGCTTTCCTTTATAAGTGACTTGTTTCTTTTCCCTGACAGCTTTTAAGATTCTATTCTTGAGTTGAACTTCTGGAATCTTGCTGAATCTATGCCTGGCTGTGGATTAGTTTTTGATTATGGCTAACTAGAGTTCTATATGCCTCACTTTTCGGTATGTCAAATTCTTTTTCCCTACCAGGGAAGTTTTCTGCTGTAGTTTGTCTTTGCAAACAGTTTTTTGTATAATTTGTGCTATCTCCTGCTTTTCCATTGACTACAATCAATTTTAAGTTACTCTTTTTTGCCTCATCTAGCAGCTGCTAGATTGATTTCTCATGGTCCCTTACTGTTTTTAAGGAATCTGTCTTTTCATGATCACTAACCACAATCCTGTCTTCTATATCTGAGATCCTGTCCTCACATTGGGTTATTCTGCTGCGGATACTTTCAGTGGAATTTTTATTCTCCTGGATATCTGCTTGAATCTATTTTATGGATTTCATTTCTTATGCTGAACATTCATGGCTTCCATCATTTTCTTAAGCTCCTCTATTTTTTTGTTTGTATCTGCTCTAGAGTCACAAAGTATGGTTTTCATTGTGAACACCATCTCTGCACTGATCTGAGAAATTATTTCTGATTTGATTTTTTAGAGCCTTCTTCACTTGCTTTGTTGTTACTACTTCAGAGAGGCCAGGTGGGTGGCTTTTGGATTGTCCTACCTCATTGCCCCCTGGGTTTGCCTTTGGTGAACTGGATGTCTGGGGTTGCATCTTGTTTAAGTGTCTTCTCACGTTCTTTTCTTTTTTTAGTTTCGTAGGGTGATGCTTATAAATTGCCTATGGTGGTTGCTTTATTGCTAGTATTTAGAACCCTTAGGAAATGACTCCTCCAAGGTATCTTCCAGGTGTAACTGGTTTTTGGGTTTTGAGTTTATTAAAGATCCTATGTTTTCAATTTGTTGGGGATGAGAAGTTGCTGGCTGTTTGGCCCAGCCCATGGTTCTTTTGCACTGTGCCACAGTATTTTCTATGACACTTAGTTAATCTTAGTCTTGGAATACCAGGAAGCATAGCTGTTTAGAACATTTATGTCACCTTTGGCTAAAATGGAACCATCAACAATAGCAGTAGCATCAATCATAGCGTAGGAAATGAAAACTTTAGGTAACCAATTTGCCACCCTTAACTGTATGAACTAAATTTGTTGTAATATAACAAAATCTAAAGCAGGCCAGAAAATAATATGCAGTATGTAAGTCCCTAATGTCAATTTTACCCTTGGGTTAAAATTTAAGTGCTTAGGGAAGAAACAGAGAGGTAGAAGAAGAGGAAGAGATTAGAAATAAGGCTGGAGGACAAAGGAGGATCATGTTAGCTTTGGGGAACTGGTGCCGAAGACTGGAGGGAAAGAGAAAAGGAAGAGATAAAAAGAAGAACAGAACAGAACCACAAAGAGGCTAGAAACCATGTTCACACTCATATAAAAACAAGATCGATCAGTGAAGGAGAAAGAAACACAAACACAAAACAAAAAATAAAAACAAAACCACTACCACAACAACAAAACAAACGAGAGAGAGAGAGAGAGAGAGAGAGAGAGAGAGAGAGAGAGAGAGAGAAAATCCACTTCCAGGTTTGTCTCTGCTGTCACTAGTAGTCAACATATGAAGACAGAGTCTCGATCCGTGTTGATTTAGCCCCGCAAGCCAGCAGTCCTTTTTGGCGGGGTCGTGGATAATCTCGGCAGGCCTGCACTTCCTGGCCAAGACCAGACTCATTTGGCCTGCAGCCTTTAGTGCACCTTCTGCGGGCCGGAGCCCAGCTGGCAGCTGCTTTGAGCTCTGAGCTCAGCCAGCCCCTTTCCAAAGTGTTTCCTGGCCCATCACTCTCCTGTACATGGGACAACTGAGCCCTTAGTACTCACACCCAGCTAGTGCAGTTCTTCGTGTCCGCGCTCCCCTCCACGGCTGCATCTCTCCATAGAGGCCTCTGGGGTCACCGACAATCACTGTGTGTCTGCAGGCTTGAACGGCTCCTCTCACGCAGTGAGTCCTGTCCCAGGGAGAAGGCACTGCTGGCTACCTCCTTCCTCTTCATTGAAGTTTCTCTCTTCAGTGTGCCCTTCAGATACTCCTGGGTCCAGGGGACCCACTTCCCTCCTGCTTGTCTTCCTCACATTGCTGTATTCCAGCATTTGGACAGCAACACCCAGTGAGGGTCTTTCTCTGCTGCTCACCACTGCCGTCTTGGTGCCTCTTGGGAGAGATTTTTGATGTGAAAGTTTTTCTGTTTGTATTGTAGGGTTAAATAAACAATGTCAGATAATAATAGTGAAACTAAATTTGCAGCAATATATACTTAAAAGCAGATTAACAAATTAACAATGACTACCACTAATGACCAGATTTCCTTTCTGAAGATTGTGGGATTGCAACTGTTTACCTTTGCATACAGAGGGCCAGAGCCTCTCTTCAAACCTGGCATAGCAAAGCAGCTACTCAGCAGAAGACTAAGAGAAAGCATGGAACAGGATATTATTCTACTGGAAGAATTTTTAATGGATTTAAAATGTAGAATTTAGCAAGGTGTGATGCTTTGTACCTGTAATCCCAGTTATTTAGGAGGCTGAGGAAGGAGGATTACAAATTCAAGGCTAGCCTGGGCAATTAGCAAGACTGTCTCAAAATAGGCTAGGCTAGGCTAATAAAATATAGAATAAAGGCTGGGGATGTAGTTCAATGGTAGACCACTTGTCTAGCATACATAAAGCCATGGGTTCAGTCTCTAGTACTACAAAAAAATAATTACAGCTTTTTTTCTATTCTTATGAGTAATTCTTGATATTTATTTTATGTGAATAAGCATTCTCTATTTAGCAGCTAAAAAATTATTACTATTTAGTAGTCACATTCAGCTTAATTAAAATGAGCCAGTATGTTGTCACCAGGACCTTAGAAGTTTGATCTTGTAACTTAAAGGAGGCTTTCATTCTCTGGAGACAGTTCTGGTCACTGTATCCAGATTTACCAGGGTGGTAGTTTTAAAGTGTGCTTCAGGGCTTCCTCAAATGTCCCTTAGGAGTTGTTTATTAGGGGATACTAATTTTATTTAAGAATTTCATGGCATCTCCAGCTTTTTCTTCCCTGATAGAAAAATCAGGGGCCCATATAATTACATGTTTGAAGTTCTGTAGCAAGTTAACATCAGGGCTGGGATTAGAATCCAGAATCTTTTTTTTTTTTTTTTTCTTGGTTTTCTTCCGGTACTGGGAATTGAACTCACGACCTCGCGCTTGCCAGGCAGGCTGTGCCGCTGAGCTAAATCCCCAGCCCCTAAAATCCCGAATCTCCATGCCCTGATCTTCCCATTGATTTACTTCGGGGACAGAAGAATATGTGGAAACAACTGTAGCCATCTCAGAATTTCTAAGACATAATAGGACTTCTTTGAGAGGAAGTCAGCGGTAGTTTAATTTTGTATGATGCATTAAAGTATTGCTAACAAAAAAACGTATCTTCCTGTTGCTCCATTACTGCTTACCCAGGTCAGACAAGACCTCACCCAGTCACACTTTGGAGGTAGGAACTACTAGGGTATAGCGGCGGTGCTGAGAGCCCTGAAGCCTATAAAAGCAAAACTGTTGAAAGCTACACATATAGCTGATACTGTTTAATTATGTTATTAGTGGAACATCCTTTAACTACATGTCTCCTTGTTTTTCTTTTGTCTCCTATTTCAGGTTGTAGAACTCATGACAGGTGGAGCTCAAACCCCAGTCACGAATGCAAATAAAATCTTCTATTTAAACTTGTTGGCCCAGTACCGGCTGGCCAGTCAAGTGAAAGAGGAGGTGGAGCATTTCCTAAAAGGTGGGGTCCTGTCTCCTCTTGCCCTGGAGGTTAAAATGGCTGTATCCACGGTATAAATGTGGCTTTAACTTGTCTACCTTGTTTCAGGCTTGAATGAGTTGGTCCCTGAGAACCTTTTGGCTATTTTTGATGAGAATGAGCTTGAGGTACGTTGAAACTAGCTTGCTGCACCTTCTGTTATGAGATACAGCAAGAAAGCCCTCTGTGGAAGAGTTGTGTTCGCTTTTGTCACACATGTATTTGACCCTTTCTTTTAGCTTTTTTAAAAATTAGAATGTGAAAATCAGAATGCAGCAGGTAGTTATTTATGAAAGGTACTAATACTCCCTTGTTCATCAACTATTATTACTGCTGCTGGATGTGGTGTGCACACCTGTAATCCTAGCCCTCAGGAGACTGAGGCCAGTCCAGGCCATATAGTGAGTTCAAGCCCAGCCTGGACTACAAAGCAAGACCTTGTCTCAAAAAACTAAAAAGGAAAAAAAAAAGTGTTATTACTAGTAAAGAATATTGGTGTCATGTATAGCCTTCATAAAATCTTGTCCCATTTAAGGATACAAATTTATTCAGGTATTGAGTACTTCCTCTATGCCATGTGTTCTGGGATACCAGAAGGAACAATGGGTAAGACAAAGTTCCAGCCCTCATGGCTGCTGTGTGGTAGTGGAGGAAACAAACCAAAAGATGTGATTGTATTTCACAGTTTTGGATCACAGCACTGTGTATATTTTTATATGTGTATAACAAATTCTTATTTCAGATCCTCTAACAACCAAGAATGGCTGTAAATAAATACTACCTCCTATAATTAGCTGAATTAAAATCTGTGTGAAGTGTAGACAAAATAATCATCTTTTTACTTGCTGCTACATAGAGTGCAATTTATTCGTTTTAACTTCCCATGTCTTTTATGAGGAATGTTTCCTGCAGGAAGGAATTTCTTTTAAAATTTGTGGGGGGGAGTTGTTTCAAGACTTGAGGGCTGTATTTTAGAATAAGAAAGTCTTCTGCAGTTTTCATCACCTTTTATAACGGTTATAAAATCCAAATAAAATATGTGAATGTCTCACCTAAGTTTCTGGTAATCCCATCACCTTTCGCTGTTGTTTTGGCGGGCTGACAAATAGCTTCTGGTGTGCTTTGTTTTCCCATGAAGCAAACATTTGTAATGATGTATAATAAGTAAGAAAGGAAGGACATACTGCGCTTCCTTAGTAGTTCCGCATCCTACTCGTAATTATTCATTCACCTAGCCAGTCCTTTTTGGAGGAGCTAAGGTTCCTCAGACTTCATTTGGGCTTTTCTTGTCTCTTAATTAAAAGGTACCGTTCTTTATAGCTACTGGGTGAGTGCTCACAGTCTACTAAATACTGTACTAGATCCTGCACCAAATTAGGACAGCAAGAAGATGTTTAGGGCTCTGATGTCATTAATGTTCTCATTTTTTGGCATAATTTCTAGTTTATTTTATCAGGGAGAAGTAGGGCTAAAGGGAAGATAGTTTAATCCACTAAAGGAGAATTCCTGGGAAAAAGGAAAAGCTATCTAAAAAATTCATAAATAGGGCTGGGAATCTTCATTAAAGGGAAAGGGTTTGCCGGTTCCCCCTGGTATTCATAGGCTAGGTCCAGAGCAGGTTATCAGTGTGTACTTAGTTTCTTTTTTTGTCCTTTGTTTCAATTAAAAAGAATCTACAGCAACAGTTCTTAATTAGAGGTGCTATCAGAAACATCCAGGAAATTACTCATGTTATATAAGCTCATAGCTCATCTCAAGAGATTCTAATTCAGTAAGTCTGGAGTAGGGCCACAAGCATCTATATATTTTTTTTAAAACACTGGATTTTTACCACTGGTTAGGAGGAACTATTGGCCTGTTGCAGTTGATTTTCCTAAAACAGTCTTGGCACTGTAACCTCACCTGTCTTTTTCTTGGATTGTCTTTATTTTGTATTTTTGTGTTAACATGGATAATTCTGATTATATAGTTGATCTCGATCCTCTGGCTGTTCTAGTAACACATGATCATCTTTCTCCAGTTGCTGATGTGTGGAACGGGAGACATCAGCGTGTCTGACTTCAAAGCCCATGCAGTGGTTGTTGGTGGTTCATGGCATTTCAGAGAAAAAGTAAGTAGGCCAAACCTCTATCAGCTGGATTTGTGCCTTATAAGGAAAGGTTTAGAAGAAAAAGGAGAGCACTCAAAGCACACATGGTAACAGGAAGAAAGGACACATGCAGGAAGGACGGGGTGGACGAGGCGGAACGGAGCACTGCTCCTGACTGCTGTTGTACTGACTACGCAGGAGCAGTACATTGGCATGCAGAGAAATAGAACCAAGCAGTCAGCAGTTACACCTCATCTGTATGACAGTGGAGACTCCTTGGTGGTCAGCTCTGACCGTTCCTACCTCTGTCCTCACAGGACTGTAAACTGGGACATAGCCCAGCTTCAGGGTATCTTACCGCTTCCCCCACGGTTTAAAAGCTAAACTACTGCCACCTGTGATTCCAGCCTTGTACTCTCCCTGCCAGGTTATGAGGTGGTTCTGGACTGTGGTTTCCAGTCTAACCCAGGAGGAGTTGGCTCGGCTGCTTCAGTTCACAACAGGTTCTTCTCAACTACCGCCTGGAGGCTTTGCTGCCCTCTGCCCCTCATTTCAGATTATTGCGGCTCCAACCCATAGCACGCTGCCTACTGCACACACGTGGTGGGTACCTGACTATCTGGTGGGAGATAGATAGCCTTGTGGGAGATTATCTTTCCAGCTCTTGGCAGTGTGTCTGGTAGTATGAGTTAATCACTTCTCTTCTTGCCTTTCCAGTTTTAACCAGCTGTGCCTCCCAACATATGACTCATATGAAGAAGTGCACAGGATGCTGCAGCTGGCCATCAGTGAGGGTTGTGAGGGCTTTGGCATGCTCTGAGCGCTCTCCTGTTGCCAGCCCGTGTTCTCTGAAGCATCTGGGCTTGTGTTACAGACATAAACGGACCTTAACATGCACAACCGTCAGCCAAAAGGTGCCGCATGCTTTCCTCTCTCTGGATTCTTTTGTCACCTACAAGCCTTGTCCTCGTGTCACCCCTCCCTGCCCACATGCAGCACAGGCCACTTTGGCATGTATCTAAACTGAGCTCTCTCATTGGTCATGAGAAGACCATACTGCTATCATATGATTTGGTTCTTTGAAGATTTCAGAAGCTGAGTCTGCCTCAGTGGCTGAAGATAACATACATGGCTCAGCCCTGTTGGGAAGCACATGTGCAGAGAGCCTCCAGTCATGCCTGGCTTCAGCTCCCTGTGCTGATGCTCCTGGAAGGTACCATCTTGGCCCCACGGTTTGAGCAGATGGGTATATGAGTCCCTCTCCTGGGCAGGTGATTGCTTCTTCCCGTCAACAGCCAGGACAAGCATGGAGAGAAAGTAGTCCACACGAGCAGTCTTTGATTTTGTCCTCCCACACAATGCAGGCACAGACTGTGGCACTGTATTACCTCTCATGAGGACTGATGGCACAAAAGAATTCTTTCTTTTTTTTTTTTTTTTTGTGGTGTCAGAACTGGAAAAAACATTTTTCCTGCGGGCAGTTCTGGAAATGGTCATTAATCCATAATGAACTTTCTGAGCTTTTTGTTAAATTTGAGCCCATGTTTTCGGTCAGACTGAAACAGTCTGAAGATGTGAAGGACAGCTAGGGCTGTAGCCTGCAATGCTGGATATGATCCTTCTTTAGAGTGAGGAGTTTGTCCAAGCTCATGGCTGGCTTGAAGACTGCTAATGCTTTCCCTGAGTTTATTCGTTGTACTGAGGTGCGTCTTGACCTGCCCACTGGCCTCTAAGTTACAGTCTGTTAAGATCTGGGGAGTCTTCAGTATTCTGCCTAAGAAAGTTTGGTAGCAGAGGATTGGGACAGTAAGAATAACATGGTAGCAGTTCCTTATCCCTTTGCTTGGTGTTCTCTGGTAGCACTGAGGCAAGGCAAAAGTGCTCACAGGTCCCTGCTCAGGCCCTCTGGGGACGGAATGGAGGAGATGCGTTAGACAGTAGATGCCTGCTCATCCCAGGTGTTTCCTTTTAACTCCCATCAGTTACCAGGGAGGGGAGTCATAGCGGGAGGAAGCCACTGTCGGTTACCTTCACTGTTGAGTGCTGATTGAAGAGAAGCCACCACTGTCTCTTAGAAGATAACATCTTTTTTCATTATCGTCTGAATGAAAACAATTCTAAGGCTCAACATCACATTGACTTGCCAGGTTTCTGTTTTTAAGACAGCTCTGCTGCAAGCTACCAATCGCGATGGGACATTCAGCTCTGAGACTATTATAAGCCATCTTTATTGCCAAAACCAGCAAGTACACAGAGTCCTGAGACAAGGCGGGACTTATGGCAATGCCGTGGTCTCCTGGAAGCGTGTCTGAGCCCTCCTGTTCCAGGGATTATGAGGAACAAGCCCTCCTGAGCTGCTACAGTTCCTGCCTGACCTCACTTCTTTGCAGTTATCATTTGTCTTTTCTTGGCATGGGTGCTGACCTCACTCATCTTTGAGGTCTGGATCTGGCATCAGGGCCTCTACACCCCAGGATCCTCCATGCCACAAGGTCACTGCTCTCCTCAGGGACCAGGACAAGGTGCTGCTACTTGTCCACATTTTCCCCCGTGGAATATAGATGGGAAAGTGTGGTCATCACCCTGTCACCCCTCAGACCTGGATAGGGGTTTCCAGCTGGGGCATGTCGGCTGGTTCTGCTAGTTTTGGCAGTTGGTCCTCTTGGATTCTGTGTTCCATCTTCCCCCCAAACAGCCCCACAAAGACTGATGCTCAAGATCAAGTTGATTTTCTTGGCTAGATCTGTCATTTTAAGCTCTAGTCATAGCACTTTTTCAGTGTGTCCTTAGCACCATTGCACCCTAGCTGGGGCAGCTGCATCCCTAGAGTGGTCTGTAGGTACCAGAGACTATTTAACAAAACACTTCGATAAGCTGGGCGTGGTGACACATGCTGGTAATCCCTGCAGTCTGAGAGCTCAGGCAGGAGGATCACAGATTTGAGCCCAGCTAGGGCAACCTACCAACTGAGTGAGCCCCTGTCTCAAGATAAAAAAATAATACAAAAAGGTCCGGGGATATAGCTCAGTGTGAAGGCCCTGGGTTCAATCCCTAGCACTACAAAAAAAAAAAAAAAAAAGACAGCAAAATGCTTTGGTACTGTTGTGGTTTTCTATTCCAGTTTACTCCTTCTTCCCCAACTCTGTTTAGAAGTGTCTTTGCTCTTTTTGGCCTGCTGTTTTACTTTTTTTTTAAACCCCTAATCCTGCTTTGGTACTAGCCAGCGTGGGGGAGGTACGGGTTGGTGAGAGGAAGAATGTGCTATCTGGGGGGCATTTTCCTTTTCATGTTTCTTATTTTGGTCAGTTGTTTTATTTATGTCCTTGTGGCCTAGATACATGAGAAGCCAACTACCTTGCAGGCCTTTTCATGTCTTTGAGGGAGACCGGGCCTCACGTGGACACCAAGGAGAACGATTGCATGGTTCCAGAGATTTGGCAGAGACCAAGCCCTATTGCACGTGGTAGGCCAGGTGAAAGGGCCCGGCCTTTAGGCTGGTACTGTAAATATTTTGTACAATAAATAAATGATTGTCTAAAGGAAGAACTGAGGACCAAGTGACTGCTGCTTTCAGTGGAGATTCAATGTTTAAATTGAAGATGGTGGAGAAAAACACGTAGATAGGCTTTGGTTGGCTCAGGGTGGACCACGCAGACCCCAGCCTGTCCCACAGCTCATCCCTCCCCCTCCTCTGATACCTGTCCACAGTGTTAGGCTGCGCCAGCCTACTCGTCGTCACAGACAGCATGCAGGAGGCAGATGTTTGTGCTCAGCTCCTGAAGAAGAACTTGGTTTGGCAAGAGCAGAGGGTATCTGTTATCAATCTTTAAAGATTAATTTGTTTTTTATTTACTCTTAAACTCAGTTTGGACAATTTGGAATTAAAAAGTACTAGGGAAGTGAGCTACCTGCCCCCAGAAGAAACCATTCTTAACCATCGGTGGACAGCCTTCCAGTCTTCGTGTAACAGCCTATTTATTCCCCCCGCCCAGAGGGCTTTGGATGTGGCCAACGAAAGCAGCACTACTAAAGCCTGTGGGTGGTAGTCGCAGCCAGTTCTCTTTCAGTCGAAGGTGTTCTTGCCAGAGAAAAAGCCTTGGGATTTGGACCCAGAAGGAAAAATTTAGGGACTCTTGACTTTCTTAGGGTAGTAATTGTGTCCAACACATTGGACTCCAAGCGAGGAAGGCAAATCAAAATACCCTCTGATTTTTTTTTTTTTTTGAGTGGGAATCGAACTCAGGACCCTATGCTTGCCAGGCAGGCACTATGCCACTGAGCTAAAAGGAGATACAGATTATTGCCCCTACCCACTAGATCCAGTGAGTTGGAATCTTAGCTTGAAAAGTTTGTTTAGTGCATTCACTCAACTCCCACTTCATCAAGTTCTTTGATGTCTTAAAAATAAGTTTTATCTTTCTAACGTTACATTTTTAAATTATTTATAGTCCTACATCTTTTACATGTGCTGCTTCTGTGGCTTGAATGGGTCACTGAACATGAATCATTTGGTTTCATCAGTCACTCCTGTGATTTAAGAGGTTGATTAAATTGCTCTTGAATTTACACAGTAATTACTGGCTTTAGCCTCTTGTAAACTGTCAGCTCTGAACCAGTGCACACAGCCCGTTCAGACTTCAGCCATGTTTCCCTTAGGGCCACAGTAGAGGATCTTCCCAGCAGCATTGAACCCAGAGTCCCAGACCACTATTTTGATTTTGCTTGGACTCTTGAGTGTAGCAGACCAGTTCCGTGTGTCCAACAGTACTTCTATTAAATGAGTAATTACTATTGAAAGAAATACTGAGATGTAATATGTACAGACTATTAGCAACACATGTATAGCCACCAAGTCAAGACATAAAATACTGCAGCCCGTACGATAGTGGGACGTGCCTGTATTGGCTCTTGGGAGACTGGCAGGAGGATTGCCACAAGTTTGAGCCCAGTGTGCACTACACAGTGAGACCCTGTCTCCAAAAGTAAATGAAACGTAGGACACAATCGTATCCCATTCCTTACATGATTATCTTCATGTGCATAGTGCTTATTCTGACTTACACTTACTTCATTGATGCCATTTCAAACAGCCTGTTCCAAAAATCATGGGGAGGGAGAAAAGGAGCCTGTGCAGTCTCCTGGCAAGGTGCTACCCATGGTTTGTTTCTCCAGAGTAATTATTAGACCTCGTGATTGGCTTTTAAGTCTTCTGAGACTGTCTTTGCTCTGTGAGAATCTAATCCTGATTCCTGATGCTGAATCTAATTAATTATCTCCTAAGGCCACAAGAATGCTGTTTCTGTAGATTTTCCCCTCAGATACTCCAAACTGGATAGCCCTTTCCATTTATGTCAAGTTGGGATTCTCTGGTGGTCAGCAGGGCATTCTTGACTCTCATAAGTTTAGCAGTATTGAAAATGACTCAGCATTAAATTGTCTCAAATGTTGGGGAATGGACTAGTATTTCTGACTCAGTACTAAATCTTTCACAACTAACAGAAAACTGAAGTTATTGGGGAGCTGTTTGGTTTTATTGAAATATGAGGGGATGATTTCCATATCTGCTGGAAGTGTTACGATGCTCTTGGTTTATCTGAGGTAGTGCTTCCTGAGGTTGGGATGTGCTTTGCTATGAATACCTCTCCCTCCCCTGGAGTCAGTTTGCTTTAATTTTGCCTATGTTTATATAAGAATATTTTGTGGTAGCCATAGTAGAGACTTGGTTCTCCACAGTGAACTCAGATGTGGTCTCAACAACACGGCCAGTGAGTTCTTGATAAGGAGAGGCAGAAGATAAGGAATGATAGCTGTTTGCTTTTACTATGGTATTAGGTGGCTTTAGCAAAGTTGTCCAGGCTGTCAGTATGGCCTGACCTGTCAACACCAGCCAGTGGCCTTACTTTATTCTGTGTTGTTTTATTTTATTTTTACTTATTTGTTTATTTGGGTTTTTTTTTTTTGTTTTGTTTTGTTTTTCGGTACTGGGAATTGAACTCACAACCTTGCGCTCACCAGGCAGGCACTGTGCTGCTGAGCTAAATCCCCAGCCCCCTATTTAGGGTTTTTTTGAGACAAGGTCTCACTGTGTAGTTCAGCTGGCCTTGAACTTACTTATTAGCCCAGGCTGAAGCAACTTTTAAAATGACGCAGTGACAATGAATACTTCTAGTGAAAGTACAGAGCCATAGCATCCAGTCATGTAGTTCCCTTTGTAGCCTTCCTTTAGAGTTGACAGCTTATTCAGGATGAGGCCTGTCAGTGTGGTTGCTGCTTCCACTTAGCAGGCCACCGTAGCCTTAATAGTCTTTGAGGGCTGGGGATATGGCTCAGTGGCACAAGCGCCTGTCTGGCAAGTGCAAGGTCTTAAGTTCAATTCCCGGTACCAAAAAAATAGTCTTTGATAGCACTGAATGTCTTAGACCAAATTTATTTGGAAAACGAAGCAAATTTCTGAGTGAGCAAGTTTTTAAGACTTTATCTTTTAGGGCCAGGGATATAGCTCAGTGGCACAAGCGCCTGCCTGGCAAGCTCAAGTCCTGAGTTCTATTCCTGGTACAAAAAAAAAAAAAAAAGACTTACCTTTTGGGGATGACTAGAAAGAAGTCAAGCTCGGACTAGAAGTCGGATAAGAGAGAAGTTTCTTCTATGAACCTATGTCGTTGGCCTGGTAGCCTATCCTGATGACAGGAAGCTACTTCTGTCCTGTTTGTGTTTCTGTCTCTAGGGCAGGTGGACAGCCTAGGACCTTTGACTTCTTAGCCCATCTGCTTACCAAATTGTGGTAGTAGCTACCATTTTTGAAACTGTGGGGAGCTTTAACATACATTGTCTCATATTTGCAGTGATGTTCCGAGGTAGGTCTTGTTTTCATCATTTTACACATGAAACAGTTGAGGCACAGAGACAGTAAGTAACTGTCAGGGTTCCTTAGCTAGCAAATGGTAGAGCTGTGTTTAAACATAGGTCTGTTTCATGTCAGAGCCCAAACCACATTTCTGGTTTGTCTCTAGCAGATTAGTTTAGACTAAGAAAGTTCAAGCACTGGGCCACCAGTGCTCACTGACTGCCTCACGTCGATTTGGGGTTGCTGTGTGTGAGAAACACTTTGCATCTTGGTTTACCTACTAGTCACTTGGAGACTTGGGGTTGATGAGGAGAGGGTTTTACTCATCCAGGTCAGAGACCTTGTACGAGATGCAGCTCTTCATAGTAGTTTTAAAATCTTTTTCATGGAGAAAGATACTAGCTAATAACTTGAGTAAGAGACTTCCAACTTCAAATGAATCTACATAATGAGTACAGGACCCTTGAGAATGTAACTGGGGAAACCTGAAATTTTTATATTCTCACTTTGGTGGAAAGTCCATGTGTCACATGCAAATGGAATAATGAGAATGAGGTTAGATACCACACAGTGTCCCAGTACTTATCTCCGATAATTTAAGCCTCCAGGAAAAAACATTGACTTGAATAAATATATTGTCTCTACACTTCCTTTACATGAAATAGCTCCATTTGGTTGAATTCTGATAGGCATCTCATCGAAGAAGCAAACATTTTCAAGAATGCCACACAAGACGATTCTGTTGGAACTGTAAGCATAGTGTCTTCTCAGTGATGGCGTCTGTGTCTCCAGGTGCAGTCAGTGCCCATCTCCCACTTCATCTGCCGTGTGGATTTGCACCTGAGGGGATCTGTGAACCTTCCCATCAGCAGACCAATGTTCCCTCCCCAGAACTCCCACTGGAGGTGTGGCCGTGATACTCGTCTGTTTGCCGATTATGAGAGTCAGGGATGTCAGTTCTTGGAAGCCAGCTGGAGAGCCTTTGATGCTTTTGTGCTGTGTCACAAACAAAATGATGTGGAATTGTGTATGAGGGAGAGTGTGTGTTATCACTTTTTGCTACATCTCCTAAGTCCTACGTCTAGTCCCACTCCAAGTCAACACTTCATTTCCTATACATACTACCCCGCCACCAATCTGGCGTTTTGTTCCACCATTGGACTCGTAGGCTCCTTTTCCTGTTCTATGCATGTCCACATCTCAGCAAACACTCCCTGTGTGTGTGACACTGTTAAGGGAGGTAGGGAAAGGAAGATGAAATTGGGTCCCTGCCTCTGAGCACCTGAGCTCTGTGTAGGGAGTTACACATAATCCATTTTCCTCAGCTTTCTTTCCTTGATGTTGGGACACCGAAACACATCACCATCTATCCCTGTAATTTCATTCCTGTTTACTTGGGGTGGAGGTAGGTTCTGCATTTATGCATTTGGAGACTTTTTGTATTATAGAATAACAGCTAATGAAAATTTGTGTATCTCCTTTGACAAAGGGAAAGACTTCTGTGTTGACTTTTAGAGAAGAAAGAACTGTGAAGATGGGTTCCAAACAAAGAGTCTCAAGAAGCCCACCCCTCATGGTACTGTAAGGAGGCTCTATCACCAGGCCGGTCTTAGGCAGGCTGGAAAAGTGGAACTCCTAGGGCAAATCTTACTTTTTAACCTGCTCTCCTAGACAAAGCCGACCTGAGGTAGACTTCACAGGG